ATAAATTCTTATAACACCCCCAAGGTCTTGCTCCAGTTCCATCACACCCAGTTCAGACCCCATGGGCCTAAATAAACATCGGGTGACCCTGTTCTACACAGTGGCCTGATAAAATGTCCAGGAACATGTTCAGAGCATGGCATGTTCCTGGAAACTCTAATGAAAGCACCCCCAGACCAGTCAAACTAGCCCAACTGGCAGATGAAGAAGGCACCAGGGCATCTTCCCATCCGGCAAGTAGGGCGATCAAGTAAGTTCGTGGCACACTTATCAGTTCACAGGCTGGTCACCCTTCTGCGTACACCGCAAAGCAAACAGTCAGGATTCCCCCCACCCCTGCCGCCAAGAAGCAAACAAAACACCATGCGAACTCCTTTCACCTCTGCAGGGACATGAATGGCAGCCATGGCTTCTGGGCTCTTTTAACTTACGGTAAATGCACTAGAAATTTTCAGCCCTGCTGCAAAAACAAAAGCCTCCCTTGCTTCTGCCTTTGTCGTGTGGGGTGCGTTGGGAAGATGGGGGTCTCAGTACAGTGGTACCTTGGGTTACAGACGTTTCAGGTTACAGACTCTGCTAACCCAGAAATGGTACCTCGGGTTAAGAACTTTGCTTCAGGATGAGAACAGAAATCATGCTCCGGTGGTGCGGTGGCAGCTGGAGGCCCCATTAGCTAAAGTGGTGCTTTAGGTTAAGAACAGTTTCAGGTTAAGAACGGACCTTCAGAACGAATTAAGTACTTAACCCAGGGTGCCACTGTACTGAGTTACTACAGCACAGAACTGGAGTGAACCCCCCTGCCTTCCTCTGTCCCCACTGGACCACACTGGTCCTGTTTACGCTACGTTTAACCTCCTTGCTTCAAAGAAAGATACTCTTTTCCTGCTCTGGTTTGTCCCCAGACAAGTCTGAGCATGTTAACTGTGGTTAAGGGCAGAGCAAAGGTTTTGAATGGCAGCAGAAATCCTTTCACTGGCTTTTTGCCTTTCCTGGGGTGGCCCTTCTGTGATGTAAAAGACGCTGGTGTTGCGGGAGACCCAGCCTGCCTTGTCTTCACCTGTTGTCCTCAGGTGTGTTAGAGAGGATACTGAGCAGTGTTGATGGAAGAGTCTCCTTCACCCCAGCCAGCAAAATATCTGGGGACCCCTCACAGAGCTACAATTCCCAGAGTTCCCTGTGACAATTCCTGCAGAAGGGTTGGTTATTAAATTGCTCTGGGAATTGTAGCTCAGGGAGGTGAATGTGGGGTCTTCTGACAACTGTCAGCAGCCTTAACAAACTACAGCTCTCAGAATCCTTTTGGGGGAAAGCCACAAGTGTTTACAGTGGCATCACAGAACTTTAAATGTGTGGTGTGTATTACCAGAGGCGCCCTCCCCGAAGTTCAGAGGAACCACGGAGTCTGCACTGCTTGTATATGACTCACTCAAAAAAGATCACAAAGGCCCCCACCCCAATCCCTATTCCACCAGTAACAGCTTCAGAAAACGCAGTTTTGGTGCTTAGATGCTGAACAATCTAGCAATAATACCACCACAATATCCTGCATTCATAGGCCTGGATAAACACTTCATAATTAAAGACAGATGGATATCACTGTGAAGTATAGTTGCAATTTCCTCCCCCCCCCAAAAAAAAACCCCCAGATCAATTTTTTAGTAAGGCCTAGGAAAAAAAAGTGTTTCTACCTAGCACTTAGCGCTCATGAAACTGGGGCTTTGAACACATTATTTCCACAAATGCACACACACGGCATTTCAAGTTGCCTTGTAGCCAAGGGGGTGGGGGCAGGGAGGGGCAGCTGCCCCCCCAAATCAAATCAACAAAAATCAATAAAAATTCTGAGGTTCTGCCCCACCAGTTGCCTGCCCCCCCCCCCCACAAAAATCCTGGCTCTGCCCATGTTCCCACCCAGAGAGAGGGGAGGCATGTCTTCACCTGATGAGATTTACCTGTTTGGTTTCCCTGAGACTGAAACCCCGTCCTATTTATGAACTACTCATTTCATTAAACAGGAAGCCGTCATTTGAGCAGTCTGAACTGTACAGAGCTCAACTTAGTGGCGGCTGCCATCTTCAAATCGGACGGAAGCTGGTTTGAAGGAAAACGTACCAGACAGCAGTATTTCATGAAACTCCGGGATACATATGAATTCTGGCTAAAACCAGAAGCCTCCAGCTTCGGACACCAGCAGCTGGAATGTGCTGGAGCCAGAGGGAATGGCAATGTGCTCGCAGCCCTGATGTTAGGCAGGGGGACCGCAGGAGAAAGCTGCAGAGCAGAGCAGGCAGGAGGACTGCGAATGCGCACTGCTGCCTGACCTTTGGTCCGAGCTAGCAGGACTGCCATTACGCTCAGGGTAAAAGAGCAGGGACCCATGTCATGCAAGGAGACCTATTGAACCCATTTGCAAAATAAAATCAGGAACTGGCTGGCAAAACCTTTAATCGGATTGCTTCTGGTGGCAGCAGCAGCTGTGGTCATTTCTGGCTTCTGGAAAGACCTGCTTTAAAATCTTGGAGATAGAAAAGCGTGGTGTGTAGGCCTTGCTGTAAAGCTGTTATCGACAAAAGGAATAAAACATAAGGACACTATTACTGGAAAGTGGCAGGATTTTGTTGTCTTTAGACATACACCAGAAAGTGGAAGGCCAGCCCCTAGGGTTTGTTTGTTTGTTTTGTTTATTGCATTTATAAACCCACCTTTTTCTTTCAAAGGAGCTCAATCTGGGTTATACGATTCTCCTCCAGCTCCTCATTTAATCCCCAAAACAACCCTGTGAGGTAGGTTAGGCTGAGAGGCTGCCACAAAGTCACACCCAGTGAGCTTCTTGGACAAGTGGGGATTCGAACCCTGGACTCCCAGGTCTGACACTCTAAGGAATTGTTATTCTGAAGATGGGGGTGACATCTCCGGAGTGGGGGCGACAAGGAGGAGAAGGCCAAGAAAGACCCTCACCGACTCTTTGTTGCCCCACTTCAACACAACAGCTCTGCAGTGCTGCCGGAGGCCTTGCCCTCAGTTAGTTTCTGCCACCAACCTTCCCACTTACAGCCTGACTCCCTCGCAGGGATGTTGTGAAGATTAATGGGGGAGGAGAGAGCCGTGAATTGCGCCTTGAGCTCCATGGAGGAAATGGTGGGAGGGGGGCTATGGATTTGCTTTTCGTTCTTGATTTTATCATATATTTGGTGTTTTTTATATTGTATTTTTTATGTCGTGAACCGCCCTAAGATCTGTGGATGAAGGGAGGTGTACAAATTTTAACAACAACAACAACAGCAACCGGAATAAATAAATGACAGGCACAAGAGGAAAGTGCAGTCCCGTGCACTTACCGTATTTTTCGCTCTATAGGACGCACTTTCCCCCCTCCAAAAATGAAGGGAAAATGTGTGTGTGTCCTATGGAGCGAATGCAGGCTCCTTGGCTTCAGTGATAGCAACACGAAGCCTCCGAAGTGCAGAGGAAGAGCTCCCCCCGCGCTCTGGAGGCTTCGCGTTGTTTTCGCTGAAGCCGCCTGAAGCCCCCGGAGCGCAGTGCGAACTCCCGCTGCGCTCCGGGGGCTTCAGGCAGCGGGAGTTCGCACTCTGCTCCGGGAGCTTCAGGCAGCTATCCGCAAGCCTTCGGAGCACAGCAGGAGTTCCCGCTGCGCTCCGAAGGCTTGCGGATAGCCACCTGAAGCCTGGAGAGCGAGAGGGGTTGGTGCACACCGATCCCTCTCGCTCTCCGGGCTTCGCTTCGCTGGAGAGGCGCTGCACAGTTTCCCCTCTCTGCACAGCACCCCTTCAGCAAAGCGGGAGGCTCCATTTCTCCTCCCGCTTCGCTGAAGGGTCGCTGAGCAGAGAGGGGGAGAATATTTTTTTTCCTGTTCTCCCCCTCCTATGGTCCGGTGCGTCCTGCGGTCCGGTGCGTCCTATAGAGCGAAAAATACGGTAATTTCAGCCAGCATATAAAGCAGTTCTAGGACTGCTAAAAGCTGTCACAGTAGTCTCTGAAATGCTTTTACACCAAAGCAATGTTGTGCCATGTATATTTAGAAAACTTATGTCATAGCACATCAGCATGTGGGTTTTGGAACGGGGATGATTTGCAAACTTCCCAGAAGCCGTAAAAAGACAGGTATTGACAGGATCCTTTGGGGATGGATTTCCATAGTTCCAGGTATGAGTTGGGGGAGAAGGGGAGAAAACCCCATACAGCTGTACCTTGGTTCTCAAACTTAATCCCTTCCAGAAATCCGTTCCAAAGCCAAAGCGTTCCAAAACCAAGGCACACTTTCCCATAGAAAGTAATGCAAAATGGATCGATCCGTTCCAGACTTTTAAAAACAAACCCTAAAACAGCAATTTAACATAAATTTTACTATCTAACGAGACCATTGATCCATATAATGAAAGCAATAAACAATGTACTGCAGTCACACAATCAATCCATCAGTAGCTGAACTGGGTTCCACACAGTCACAAAAACAAAACAAAGCTGCAAAAACAAAAGCAAATGGCAAAAGCAGATGGACCTCAGCGTAACACTCAAAACGAAAGTGTGGCACTCAACCTGGAAGAGTAACACTCAAAATGGAGCATGTTCGGCTTCCGAAAAAAGTTCGCAAACTGGAAGACTTATTTCTGGGTTTGCAGTGTTTGGGTTCCAAGTTGTTTGAGTACCAAGGCTTTGGAGAACCAAGGTACCCCTGTATTGCACTAGATTTCACAGCACAGACGGGTGGTCCATTTTATCTGTAGGGCTCCTTCATTACCTTCAAGCGGACAGCACATAATGGGGACACTTGCTCCCTGTTACGCAACATGTTCCAGAGAAGAACAGGGAACCTATGTAATGTTGAAACTGCTCTTAAAAAAACAACGTATCTAAATAAACTGCTGGTTCTTTTTAAAAAAAATATATTGGCAGATCTCCTCCCAGTGGCTTAGCGTTTTCAATTCTTTTCAACCCTGGTGATTAAATTTTGATTACACAACCTTCTGCAGGTCAACGTATTTCCTTTTGCTCCACCCATCTCAGAGGAAATAAATGTCCACTCAAGCCTCCTTTAGTCACTGGGCTACTTTGGTATCAGAAGACAAGGAGCTCTGCGCTACCCTGAAGCACTTCCTTGCCTTACCTCTGCCCCAAAGTGCCAACCTTCTCAACGGCAGAAGTCAGAGGAAGCAATGATGGACCTCCTGCCATTCTCCATGGAGACTTGGGCTCTTCTCGCCCTCTTCATAGGCCTACTGATGCTGTAAGTAAATTCTGGCATTATTGTTCAATCCCTCGGAGTATCATCTGTGCAAAACTGGGAATTTCAGCCTTGGCCAACCAGGCTCCATAGTCTTGGAGGTCCTGTGGGTAATAATAATAATAATAATAATAATAATAATAATAATAATAATAAAATTTATTTATATCCCGCCCTCCCCAGCCGAAGCCGGGCTCAGGGCGGCTAACAACAATAAAACAGTACAAAAGTACAGCACAAACAACACTCTAAAATCATTCATTATAAAATTAATTAATTCAAGCCACTGGCAACCATTGGGCCAGAGCTCTGCGAAGATTGCCGAGGGAGGGAGTCAGGCTGTGCCCTGGCCAAAGGCCTGGTGGAGCAGCTCCGTCTTGCAGGCCCTGCGGAAAGATGTCAAGTCCCGCAGGGCCCTGGTCTCTTGTGACAGAGCGTTCCACCAGATCGGAGCCACGGCCGAAAAAGCCCTGGCTCTAGTTGAGGCCAGCCTAACTTCTCTGTGGCCTGGGACCTTCAAGATGTTTTTATTTGAAGACCGTAAGTTTCTCTGTGGGGCATACCAGGAGAGGCGGTCCCGTAGGTACGAGGGTCCTAGGCCGTATAGGGCTTTAAAGGTTAAAACCAGCACCTTAAACCTGATCCTGTACTCCACCGGGAGCCAGTGCAGCTGGTATAGCACCGGGTGAATGTGATCTCGCAGCGAAGACCCCGTAAGGAGTCTCGCTGCAGCATTCTGCACCCGCTGGAGTTTCTGGGTCAGTCTCAAGGGCAGCCCCACGTAGAGCGAGTTACAATAATCCAGTCTGGAGGTGACCATCGTGTGGATCACAGTGGCTAGGTCAGGGCGAGAGAGGTAAGGAGCCAACTGCTTAGCTTGGCGGAGATGGAAAAATGCCGCCTTTGTTGTAGCTGCAATCTGCGCCTCCATGGAAAGGGAGGTGTCGAAGATTACACCCAAACTCTTAACGGACGGTGCTGGCACTAACTGCGCCCCCGCAAGAGATGGGAGTTGCCCCCCAACCCCATATTGTCCCGTCCCAGCCACAGGACCTCTGTCTTCGAAGGATTTAGCTTCAACCGGCTCCCACGTAACCATCCAGCCACAGCTTCCAAACATCTGGTCAGTGTGTCTGGGGCCAAGTCAGGATGGCCATCCATCAACAGATAGAGTTGGGTGTCATCAGCATACTGATGGCAACCCAGCCCAAAACTCCGGACAAGCTGGGCGAGGGGGCACATAAAGATGTTGAAAAGCATCGGGGAGAGTATCACACCCTGAGGTACTCCACACACCAAGGAGTGGCACGATGACAATTCCCCCCCCAAGCGCCACCCTCTGTCCCTGACCAGAGAGAAACGAGCGCAGCCATTGAAGGACTGTGCCCTGGATCCCCACGTCGGCAAGACGGTGGTCCAGAAGTTCGTGATCGACCACGTCGAAAGCTGCTGACAGATCTAGAAGAATCAGCAGCCCCGACCCGCCTCGATCCAGGCTCCGTCACGGGTACCCCGCCATACTCGCTCTAGCCGTCTGAGTTCCCGCTTCATTTTCCGGAGCTCCTCGGTAAACCAGGGAGCCCGGTTTCTGCGGGGTCGCAGAGGGCGCTTAGGTGCGATCTCATCGATGGCTGCCAGGAGCTGGATATTCCTCTCTCGCCCTTCCTCCCTTGTGAGTCCACCTCCTCACTGCCTTTATCAGCAGGTGCCATTTCTGGTTCTGGTGCAGCATCCTGGGAACTATAGTTTCTGGTGCAGAATCCTGGGAACTGTAGTTTACAACTGCCAGAAGAACCCTCTAGTCCAGCATCCTGGTTGGTGGCCAACCAGATGCCCATTATGGGAACCACACAGACAGGGTTTGAGAGGTGGGAGAACCACTCTCACCCCCCTGTGGCTTCCAGCAACTGCCATTCAACTTAAGCTTGATGGGAAATGTAGCTTTGTGAGGTCCGCATCCCTAACACACTACAGTTCCCAGAACTCTTCATGATGCACGGTGCAGGTGTGAGCAGCTGCACATCTACTGACCCTCATGGGCAGGTAAAACAAACAAGCAGGTTTGCTGTTGAAGTACCAACAGCAGGGATCATTCAGTTAGTAGCCTAAGGGTTAGTTGTTAGAGGTGGGAGGTGTTGCCTAGCAAGCTGTCAGGCTACTGGCTGAGGCTACTCGTGCTCTGATTGGCTGTGTAATTCTGAGGGAGTTTCCCCCTGTATGCTTAGTTGAACAAGGCCTGTACATGGACAATGCCTGTAAATAATAATAAAAACCCCCACTCTGTTTATTTTATATGCTGCTTTTCTTCCATTTACCTCAGTAAAGTATGATCAGCTTCTTTTCTCTCTCGATTCCACTTCCATTATTCAAGTGACTCTGTTAACATACTAAAGGTGACTTGCAGTCACCAGGACTAGAAACCTGAGAAATTTCATCTTTGCGAATTTTACTATGGAACAATATGGTCTGCATCTCCCAGGCTAATGTGCAGTTCAGAACTTCCTTTTACACTCCCCAAACATTCTGAAGCAGTCCTTAGCTATGGAAGCAGAGCAAAATGCATTTAAAAATGTGCATTTTGAGAGAAAATACATTTTGGGCTATTTATGTGTTGAACCGCAGCTAGCTGGGGCTGATAGGAGTTGCAGCCCCAAACATTTGGAGGTGATGTACATTGTTTTTTTCCTCTCTCTCTATCTCATTAGCTTTGTAAAGCAAAGGTATTAATGAATGTTTACTTACCTGTGTGTTCCCCCCTGAGACAAATGGCGTATAAGTTGTGTTCTGTATTCATAATTTAAAAAGAAAAGAAACATGTGGGGTTTTTTTTTAATAGAGTAAATACATAAATGTGCATTGTGGGAGAGAGAAATGATTCAAGGCTTACATTTAAATGCAAATTCTTTTGCAGAGTTTCTTTCAAAAATAGCAGATTAACGGGTGCAGTGGTAAGGTTTATTTTGGGGGGTCTGCCCTGCACCCCCTAGGCAAGACTGCCACCCCTTCAGCAGTGCCAGAGTAAAATCCAGCTGCCAGTCTACTTGGAACGGGGTGAAGGGCACCATCTTGTTTTTCGCCTCAGGCAGCAAAATGTCTTTGTCTGGCCCTGCGTAAATGAACTCTCACATCCAGGCAACATGGGACACATTCTCCCCAGACATTTAAAGTTCTGTGACCCCACTTTAAACAGCCGTGGCTTCCCCCGAAGAATCCTGGGAGTTGTAGTTTGTTGAGGGTGCTGAGAGTTGTTAGGAGACCCCCTTATTCCCATTGCAGTGTTATAATTCCCAAAGTGAAGGAGGGTTGATTGCTAAACCACTCTGGGATCGCCAGTTCTGCAAGGGGAATAGGGGGGTCTCCTAACAGCACCCTTCACACACTACAACTCCCAGAATTATTCGGGGGGAAGCCATGGCTGCTTAAAGCAGTGTCACAGAGCTTTCAATGCAAGCTGCAAATGTGTCCTGAATGAACTTTGCCTGAACAACAAAAAGTGGTACGTGGTTGGCCAGGAGCGTGAGCAAAAACTTGGAGCGATACCCTTTAAAAAAAAAAAGAAATTGGGTTTTGTTTTTTTAAGCAACTTAAAACAAGGAAGAAGAAAAACCATAATCCCGAAATGAAAAACTTCTTTGAAGAAAACCCAGTTCAGGCTGTAACTCCCAGCTCCGCTTTGATTCCTCAGCAATAAATATGTGTAAGCAGCATTTTTCTCCTGTGCTTCCTCCTCCTCCTCCTCCTCCTCCTCCTCTGTTTTTCTGCCTCTTCGCCTTGAGCTGGCAATGAGCTATGAGCCCAGAAAGAGAAGCTTTGCTTTTTTTTAAAAAAAAAAAGGGAAAAAATATCTATTTTATTTTATTTTGCTAAAGCCTTTAAGGACCCCTTTCCGCTGGGGCACCTTTTTCCTTTATGAAATGATTGCTTTTACCTCAGGGTTATCTCTCTCTGAAGATTTCCGCCGAAGCAGCAGGCACCCAGCCTTTTATCAACGGGGGCGCTTATTAAACAGCCTTACAAAGTAGTGATTGCCAGAGTCGGGGAGGGCAGGATCCGCCCCCCTCCTCCTTCCCAGAGTAAATGCTTAATTCCTGAGTTAACATTAACAACTTGAGCGCCTCCGGGAAGGGTTTTGAAGATCTATCATCCGAACATTGTGTTCTATTTATTAAGGGATGGAGAGAGAGCGGCCGTTTTTAACAGCTAAGCTAATTTCATTTAAACAGAACATAACTTTCTTTCTTTTTATCAGCAGCAACCAGAAGTCTGGTTTTGTCTTCCACCTCAGCGGCACAATGGCCTCCTTCCAAAATGGAGGCCCTCATGCGTTACCCTCTCTGCCTGCTCTGCCCCGCTGTCTGTCGCTCTGAATCATTAGCAGAGAGTGGAAATGGCAAATAAGTCACATTCCCTCCAGATATTTAAAGCACCATGATACCACTTTAAGCATTTACAGCTTCCCCCAAGGAATTCTGGGAGCTGTAGTATGTTAAGGGTGCAGGTGTTTGTTAGGAGGCCCCTATTCCACCTCACAGAACTACATTTCCCAGAGTCAATCCCACTTTCCACGAAACCAGGGATTGTAGCTTCCTAACAACGTGCCGCTCCCTCAACAAACTACAGTTCCCAGAATTCTTTGCAGGGAAGCCATGACTGTTTCACGTGGTGTCATAGGTTTTTTAATGTGTGTCATGAATGTCTTCTTCCATGTTTCTCAACAAGGGGGGCGGGCTCCCCACACTCTCACGGACCCAACTACCCACAGACACAATCAGGCATTTACCTGGTGGTATTGCAACCTATCCGTCACTAACTCCTTTATTTCCTCAAATGTTTTTAATTTTAACTGACTTCCTACCTCTGTCAATAAATCTTTCTATGTGGCCCACTCTCCTTTCATATTTAACTGTTTTTACTGCTATTGCTTCCATTAGAGAGAGCCACCAAGGAGTTTTACGTTCCAATAAATTTTTATATCTATTCCACACACACACCTCATAAATTGATTTTCTTCTTGTGTGATTCAGGAATCCTTTATGCACTTTTATTTTATCATACCATAAATATGCGTGCCATCCATATCGATTATCATAACCTTCCAAATCCAGTAAATCTGTATTCTCTAACAAAATCCAATCCCTCAACCGACATAGACAGGACACTTCATAATATAGTCTCAAATCTGGCAGGGAGAAATCAGGCAGACATACTGTTTTCTGGCTGAGGGTTATGGGAGTTGGAGTCCAGAATATCTGGAGGCAGGGTTGCCATACGTCCGGAATTTTGCGGACACAACTGGGATTCGGCAGTCGGAAGCAGTGTGCTGGTGGAACTCACTGAAATGTCTGGGGAAATCTGGATGTATGTGGAAGAACCTGGCAGTGTGAGTCAGCTCTTAGTTGGATAGAAAAGGATAGCGGTGCACATGTCAAGCACAGTTGCTAAGAACAGCCAACACTGCCCCAACTTTAGATTTGTGCACAGTGGTAGAACTTGCAGCAGTCAAAAACAGTAAAACTGAGCGGGTTAAAAGGCTTAACCATTCCTTCTTCCAAAGTCCTATCTGTATCAGAGATCATAACTATTTTATCAAGCTTTAGAAACTTTGAGGAAGGGGCTTGGCTCAGTAGTAGAGCACATCCTTTACATGTGCAAATGGTCCTAGGTCCTTAAGGTAATTACGTCACATTTCCAGAGCGGATATACAAAGGCTCCCTGGAAAACTGCTGCCATTGTGTACAATAGTGAGCAAAGGGAACCAGTGGCCTCTCGGTGATGGAAGGCAGTTTTCTAAGTTCTTAATAAATCAGCAGAGAGTTCAGGGGCCCCAGACCAGAGGAACAGACTTCCACTGGGGTCTTGTTTCAGGGGGTTCATTGGGAGAGGGCTAGTTGTTATTAATTATTTTGTATCTTTATTTTTATCTCTTTTTTTTAGATTTATGTGAAAAATGTCCAATTTGGTTGTTTACATTTTGATGAGTTTTATTTATTGTTTGACTACTTTTGTTATGTTTGTAATTATGCTTGTGGGCTTTGAACTATGAATATTCTTGCACAGACACACAAACACACGCACTGCCAATTCATCCTGCAGTTGTTAAGTGATGTATTTGCACCAAACTTTAGTGTCTGAATAGCCTTCTTTTCCTCATGCACCTGCCCTGTTACTAGGATCATCGATGCTGCAAAGCAACACCCCACTCTTCCTTTTGTTTTTACCAAAGCATAATGGATCTCCCTCATTGCTTTTCAGATATGGCATTTGGCCCTATGGCGTCTTCAAGAAACTGGGCATCCCAGGACCACAGCCAATCCCTTTCTTGGGCACTGCAGGCGCCTATCGCAAAGTAAGCTCACAAAGGAAGACCATTTCATTAGCTGAGGGGCATTGAGATAAAGTGGTCTCCTGGTTCTCAAAAAGAAAAGGAAAAAAACCACACCAATTTAAAATACAGGTTAAAATGCAATTTAAAATGCAGCCTCATTTTAAAAGTAGCCGATAGATCAAGACCATAAGGGGAAGGAAATATAAGGGTCAGACTGAGTCCAAACCAAAGGCCAGGCGGAACAGCTCTGTTTTGCAGGCCCTGAGGAAATGTGTCAAGTCCCGCAGGGCCCTAGTCTCTTGTGACAGAGCGTTCCACCAAGTTGGGGCCAGTACTGAAAAGGCCCTGGCCCTAGTTGAGACCAACCTAACCACCTTGCGACCTGGGACCTCCAAAGTGTTATTTGTGGACCTTAAGGTCCTCCACGGGGCATACCAGGAAAGGCGGTCCCGTAGGTACGTGGGTCCTAGGCCGCAGAGGGATATGATTCTGTCTCGCCACAGGTGAGCAATTACTTAAAGATTGGCATTATTTACAGAATGTTGTGCCATTACGGACGCTGTGTCTGGAAAACGTGATGCTATGCCATGGTTTGTTAAATAAATTACAAGTCATCTCACAGATGAGCAAAGGGCCTCATTTCTCCCAATCTTGGTTTTGTTTTGCAGCTGCTCTTGCCTCAGGCCTCTGTAGCGTAGAAAGCATGGTTAGTTGGCTGGGTTGGGACAAAGCACACTTTGGCTAAACAAATTACGGCTTTGCATTGTGGGGGAAACCAGGCTTAAGCTGAATTTAACTCTGTATTAAAATATCCATTACAGGGAGTAACGGAGTTTGACAGAAAATGTTTTCAAAAATATGGAAGAATGTGGGGGTGAGTATGCCTTTTCTTCTTCTTTCCTTAAGCTGGGAAATTCAGTCAACTTGTAGAGTGATTGGTTAACATTTGGGAAGAGAAACTTTTAGTTGGTGGAGCTACAGACATGAAGTTGCATTTGATTATCACTGGATTGCTATTTTGGTTCTGGTGTGTTTTGAAATGAAGAAGAGAAAGTTAAAGGTGGTCCTCCTTTCCAGAAGCAACCTTAGTTTATTAAATTATAATCTATTTCATGCTTTCCTGAATAAACTCTGGCAGACGCAGAAATATCGAGGTCTGAGTAAAGTAGATATTTATTTAAACGCAACCAGGTGAAGGTGTGTTTGTCTTGTTCCTGCCTCCTGTGTGGTGAATTAATTGTGGCAGGTCAGGATTGCTGCCCCTGCGTTAATGGAGAAAATTGGTCCCTTAAACTCTAAAAAGCACGCTTTGTTTGTATTTTGCAAAGATTTTTATTTTTTTAATTGAAAAGCAAAAAACCCAAAACAAATCCCAAGAACAGCAGTCCTGCTTCCTTTCAGTTTTACCCAACCTGAAAGCATAGCTCAGCTCCAATCATACAGTAGAGAGAATCTGAAAGTTGCTGGTGTCAATATAAAGAAAAATGTTTAAGTGTGTGTTCATATTTACTGCTGTGCCTGACCACTCCTGTTCCTAACTGCAAAGCACTTACTGACTGGTGGTGCCAACTTTGGAGAGGTGGCAGGATATAAATACAGTGGTACCTTGGTTCTCAAACTTAATCCTTTCCGGAAATTCATTCCAAAACCAAAGCGTTCCAAAACCAAGGTGCAGTTTCTCATAGAAAGTAATGCAAAATGGATTAATCCATTCCAGACTTTTAAAAACAACCCCTAAAACAGCAATTTAACATGAATTTTACTATCCGGTGAGACCATTGATCCAAAAAAGGAAAGCAATAAACAATGTACTGCAGTCACACAATCAATCAATCAATCAATCAATCAATCAGTAGCTGAACTGGGTTCCACACAGTCACAAAAGAAAAAAGAGCCACAAAAATACAAACACAAAATAAACAGCAAAAACAGACGGACGGAAGTGCGGCACTCAAACTGGAAGCGTTACACTCAAAACGGAGCACGTTCGGCTTCTGAAAAAAGTTCGCAAACTGGAACACTTATTTCTGGGTTTGCAGTGTTTGGGTTCCAAGTTGTTTGAGTACCAAGGAGTTTGAGAACCAAGGAACCACTGTAAAAGGATTAACTGATAGGCTGATTGCAAAGCAACTTATTCTGGGGCTGTGGTTTGAGGGATCAAGTGGTTTCTAAAGATGACAGAAGTTGGACAACCATGCCTTAAAACCAGCCAGGAAGTGCATGGCACAGTCCAGTCACACTGGGGCAGTCCATAATTTCCGATCTTGCCAGCTTACTCAGAGGAGTGTTTGTCCTAGGTTTTATGATGGCCGGTGGCCTGTGTTGGCTGTTACGGATCCAGCCATCATCAAAGTTGTCCTGGTGAAAGAGTGCTACTCTGTCTTCACCAATCGCCGGGTAAGTCCCTATTTTCAGTCACTTTCTGAAGGGGCCCTTTAAGACCCAACAGGGCCTCATGTCCCAGGAAACAAAGCTAAGAGGCAACTGTAAGAGGGACCTGAAACAAAAAGGTTGCAGTGTTATCGCTACCGCCTTGAGCATTTTGTTGCTATATTGGCTCACGGTTCCTTGTCGGGGGCCATTTGAGGGGTTTAAATATATGTTTATTTTAATATACAAATGCCTACATTTATGCAAACCTGGGAAGAGCCCCCCTCCCCTAAAAAAATGCACATAAAGAAGCTACAACTTAATTTTGGGGTGGTTATGTTTCGTTTCTAGGTATGTAGCTCCACGATAGAGCCTCTGCTTTGCATGCAGAATATTCTGTGTTCAATCATAGGATCATAGAACCTTGAGTTGGGAGGGACCCTGCAGGTCATCTAGTCCAACCCCCTGCAATGCAGGAATCTCAATGAGATCATACATGACAGGTGGCCGTCCAACCTCTGCTTAAAAACCTCCAGCGAAGGAGAGTCCACAACCTCCTGAGGGAGACCATTCCAGTGTTGAAGAACCCTTGCTATCACAATGTTTTTCCTGACGTTGAGTCAGAAACTCCTTTCTTGGTTTAAGTTCTACACTCCAGAGCAGCAGAAAACAAGTTGGGGCCATCTTCCATGTGACAGCCCTTCAGATATTTGAAGACAGCTATCAAATCTCCTCTCCTCCTTACTACACTCAACATACCCAATTCCCTCAACTGTTCTTCATAAAGTCTCGTTTCCAGACCCATGATCTGTTAGGATTCAAGCCTTTATCAGGAGAAACTGGCCACTCTCCAGGCACCCGGCTTGATCTCCTGTTGACCTCCCTGTCTGCATTCCCCAGCAGGCTCCAGGCAGAGGTCGCGATAGGCGATCCTTCTCAGAGTGAGAAGAACACACCCCCTCTTTCCTGCCCCCCCCCCAGGCAGGGGACCGAGATAGACAGAAACGTATTTACATTCCTTTATTTCTGTCTTTGCAGCGTTACAAAAATCATGACTGCTCTCTTCAAGCTCCAGCAGTCGAGAGACAAACTCCTCCTGTACTTCCTGTACAGCTCATATTACACTCTGAGCTAATTCCGGTGCCCTCTGCACTGTGAATTGACTGTCCCTCTGTTTCCCACGGAACAGTCCCAACATTCCCATTATGTTTTGCTTTCAAGCTACCAGCTCGCGGCCGCATTGCTTCTATATCGTAACATGATCATCTCTCCTTCTCTCCCTTTTTTTTTGAACCTCCTGACAGATGTTCGGTCCAACAGGCAAGCTGAAATCAGCTGTTTCAGTAGCTTCAGATGACCAGTGGAAGAGGATTCGCACTGTGCTCTCCCCCACTTTCACCAGTGGGAAGCTCAAGGAGGTAAGAGCTGGGACTGAGCTTGCAATAAATGCTTAAAAGACCTGACAGTATTTCCTGCAATGCCCAGTCCAAGTCCCTGACCAGGAATGGCTTAGCCAGCAAAAACATGTTAATAAAGTGTTCTGGCCAGTATATTCTCCTATCCCTTTCTAAATGTTGCGAATGATCTAGTCTTTATTGCGCAAAAAGCATTTCCCTTGAGAATCTCGGCGGTAATTCTTTCATCAGAGAAGCCTAATTAAAAGTGCTGGTTTTGACCTTTAGGATACACCCAAAACTGTGTGGAGGACAATGTGGATTGGTATATGTCATCCCTTCAATGTGTGAATGCCCATTGGTTGGAATTACAAGTGTCACTGTTGTGCTTGAGTCCTGCTTGCGGGTTCCCACCGGGGCATCTGGTTGGCCGCTGTGAGAGCAGGATGCTGGGCTCAGATGAGCCCCTTTTGGCCTGATCCGGCACCCAGACTATTCTTAGGTTATTGCATGTGGACTAGGAGCCGCTGCTCTCCGGCCCTGCCAACCCCCCACCCCTTTGCTTACTCCCATCCCACACAGTTCCCCATCCCCTCACAGGTCCTCATTGTTCCTCCATCCCTGCTTTATTCAAACTTCCGCTGTTGTTCAAAACTGCCACTTTAAAACCTCCCCTTCTTTTTTGTTGCCCTCCCTTCCCCTGGCCTGCCTTCATGCAAAACCAGGGTTGTGATGGGGACACTACAAATCCTCCAGTGGGGATTGTGTGATGACAACCCTACATTTTAATGCATATAGGAAGATATACACTAGGCTGCTTCTAAGGTGAACTTGAAGAGATTGGGAGAGTTAGGAAGCAACAAGTCTGCAGTCAGGGAGGGAGTTTCAGTTTGGTTTCCTTAATACAGGGCGTACTTTTGTTTTTGGGGTGCCTTTTGATGTTATTGGGATGCGGGTGGCGCTGTGGGTTAAACCGCAGAGCCTAGGGCTTGCTGATCAGAAGGTTAGCGGTTCGAATCCCCGCAACGGGGTGAGCTCCCGTTGCTCAGTCCCAGCTCCTGCCCACCTAGCAGTTCGAAAGCACGAAGTGCAAGTAGATAAATAGGTACTGCTCTGGCGGGAAGGTAAACAGCGTTTCTGTGCGCTGCTCTGGTTTGCCAGAAGCGGCTTAGTCATGCTGGCCACATGACCCGGAAGCTTTATGCCGGCTCCCTCGGCCAGTAAAGCGAGATGAGCGCTGCAACCCCAGAGTCGTGCGCGACTGGACCTAACGGTCAGGGGTCCCTTTACCTTTATCTTGATGCTATTGCAAGCAGCAGTGGTTGGAGGACCAGGCAGGATATAAATGACCACCTTTCTGCTTTGTGTTGCCCTGTGCCCCCTTCTCTCCCCTCCTCACCCTGTTGCCGCCACCTAAGATGTTTCCTATCATCAAGCACCACGTGGACAGCCTAGTGAAAAGTATTCAAGGCAAAGTGGAGAGGGCGGAGCCTGTGGACATCAAAGAGTGAGTAGCTGCCCAATATGGAAAGTCATGGGGGGAGGGGAAAGCAAGATTTAGTGTGGCTGAGACTGGAGATGGTGGAATAGTCTTGGGCAGGGGGAGACAGTGGCATTCCTGGCTTCCCTTGAGCCGAACAGGTGGAATTCCCTTCCAAGAGAGATTAGGCTGGCTCGCTCCTTGCTATCCTTCCACTAGCAGGCTAAGACCTCTTTCTTTGGGCTGAAACTTGCAAGCTGCTTGCACAGTACTCAGTATATAATTAAAGATGCTCTTGACAACTTGGAGAGTCAAGACCTGCCCCTGCCCCCTGGAGGGGGCCAGGCAGATCTGAGGATTTGGCAGTCCTAGGCCAGAGACACAGCAAATACCCTCCCATGCAAAAACCCCCCCCCAAAACCTCACCCCTCCTGATTTTCACCGAATAGGGCAAATTCAACCCACTTGTTCCAGGCTTTCTTCTTCTTCCTGATTTCTGTCCTGTGTTTTATTTTATTTTTTGTCTGTTTAGGAAATTTGGGGCATACAGCATGGATGTGGTGACCAGCACTTCCTTTGGGGTGAACACGGATTCCATGAACAACCCCAAAGACCCCTTTGTCAGGGAGGCGAGCAAGCTGGTGCGGTTTGACCTGTTCTCCCCAGTCTTCGTTTTATTATGTACGTTACTTCTACTGCATATAAATATAAATATCCCTGCTGCTCCCAGAGGCCAGAGTCTCAGGGCTTATCTCCCAGAGCTTTTTGGGGGCACCACACTTTCCAGGCAAAGCTCCATGCTTTAAAATTCTGTGCCCAAAATATTTTTTATTTTGTCTTGGTGCTTTCCCCAGGAAAACCCAATTGCCATTTGCTCTGATCTTGCATTTAAACACAGGTTTTCCCAGGGGAAACACCAGGACAGAAACACACAAGTGCTTGGACACAGAGCTTTAAAGCCTGGCCCTGTCCCTAAAAATGCAGCACAAAATGAGGTCTGGATGAGCCCTTAAACCAGTTGCCCTGCATATGCTGATTTGATTTGATTGACATCCTGGGATTGGGGCTGGAGAGTCACTGGCCTGGTTCAAGCGAGGAGCTGGGCTGGAGACAGTCTCATGCATTCATGGTGGCCAGGGCAGGCTGTGGACCGGTTTCCCCCTGAGACAAGACATGCTCTGGCAGGGTGGAAGGAGACCAGTGGCAACAAAGCTGCTCTGCGGTGGAAAAAACCCTTTTGGATGGGAGTCTTGGCCAAGAGAGGGTGTTCCGTGAGGTGCTGCTGCTGTTCTCCTTGGCTTTGGATGAGTCTTCAGCTTACCAAAACCCAAGTTGGCAGTTGCCACCACCACCAAGGCTGAAGAGGGGTGGCAGCTGGAAGGAAAGGGTTGGAGGTGGGGTTTTGGTGGTGGAATCAGGGTCTCTCGCCCCCTGTGGAACATGCTGCCCAAGGCAGGTCGCTTCAGGATGCCTCAGTGGTGTGCCGGCCGGCCGGGAGAACCCCTCCAGCACATCCCTGGACCCTTGTGATGCTGGGATGCCAAGCCCTGCTGTCTCCCTTCTAAAGGGTTTTCTGACTGCACAATCCAAGCCTTCTGTGCATATGAGTACCTCCTCAACTGTGAGGCTTAGAAAATGGGGTCTTGCATGCTGGGATAATGCTGCCGCTGCTTCCTAAGGCTTCTTCTTTGCTCTCTCTCCCCTCCAACCAGATTTCTTTCCATTCCTAAGTCCCGTTCTGGACAAGATGAACTTCCATATCTTCCCCAGCAGTGCTGTGAACTTCTTTGCCAGGGCAATCGCGAACATCAAGAAGGAACGGGAGCAAGCGAAAGGAAAGGTAAAAAACAACAACAAAAAATCCTCAGTTAGTTAACCTAGATGAGGGGGAAAAATCATTTTAGATTTTTTAGATGGGGGGGGGAGTGCATTGGTGAGTCCTGACACTCTGATGTGACTGGTTAATTTTCTGAGTTGTTGTTTTTTAAAAAAAAGATTCGTTTATAGAAGAATTTTAAAAAGATTGGAGACTGACTTAAAAAAATTAAATTCTAGTATTTGTATACCGCCCTATACCTGGAGGTCTTAGGGCAGTTCACAGAATAAAATCAAAATATAAAACCACAAAATACACAATCAAAATAAAAACAACAACCCAATAACCCCCCCCCAAAAAAAACCCCACACCACACACACTCATTTTAGAATGGCATAGGATCCTCACAACATTTAAAACAAGACAATTAACAAACCTGGACAGGAGCCACTTATTGGAAAGACCGTGATCTCAGAAATGTCTGTGGCAATATTGACTGGCAACCAACTTGGCCAGGTGCCTTTCTGATGCAAAAACAAAAAATAAGAGGGGGAAGGGGGAGCTATCCAGTCCGACCCACCCCCATTCAAATTGCATTGCTTATAAGGGCAAGCCCTCATGCCGGGATAGCTCAGTTGGTTAGAGCAAGGCACTGAGAATGCCAAGGTTGCAGGTTCGATCCCCGTATGGGACAGCTGCATATTCCTGCCTTGAAGGGGGTTGGACTAGATGATCCCCGAGTTCCAATGATTCTAAGATTCTGTGGTTATTTTTGTTCCCAGGGCAGAGTGGATTTCCTACAGCTGATGATCGACTCCCAAAAGTCAGATGTGCAATTCGAGAGCAATGGTGTGAACCACAACTATAAAGGTAGCATGTGCTGTAAAAAGAGTGTCTGAAGTCTGTGCATGTGCAATGGGGGCTGTTGCATATCAACTTTTCCCTTTTCTTGCGAGGAAACCTATTCGGAATAAGGGAATTTCCCTTAAAGAAAAGGAAACGTTGACAGCGATGGGTTGTTGTGGTGTTTAAATGGGGAGGGGACACATGTATGACCCCTTGAGCTCCTTGGGAAGAAAAAGGCGGGATAGAAACCAAATACATAACAAATAAATAAAACCAGGCGCACAAACTCTAAACATTGGAAGGAGTTTGGCAGCCACACCCATCCTGTGAGGGAGAAACGAATTTGAGCCTCAGGCTCTGTGTAGCTTTTGCATTCGTCACCGTAAATTTTATTTCACAATAATAACAGCAACAACTTCTATTCCATCCTGGAGCTTCTGGGCTGATCACAGACATGCCCCCGCCCTGAGCTCCTTAATTGGAATATATATTCTGAAAAGCAGATTTTGCAACCTTGGCAGGAACTCATGCTTCCTTTGATGTTTTCTATGAACATTAATTAACAGTACTAGGAATTCATTATGCGATTCCACCCTCCAGCCTTGCCTAGGGATAGGCATAAAAGCAGGTGACCCCATCCCATTTTAACTCATCCTGTTTTCAGTGGCGGACCTACATTTTGGGTGGCCCTAAAGCTTGAACTGTCATGGAGACCCCTTCTCAACCAAGAATGAAGTCTAGGTAACCACTGTTCTCGTCTTAAATGGGGTTGTTCCATGACAGATCAGCGCTTAAAAAACCCAAAAAAAACTACTGCATCTCAGATCTGGATTAAAATTTCTATACTGGGTTATCTCACATGTCAAAGTCATTGGTGTGAATAAATATTTCCTGTGCATTATAGTTCTCAGGTTATTGGCGGGATCGAAATAATATACTTCATTAGTTTCACATACCCTCCAACATTACAATAGAGACATCCTAAGGGAAAGTGGGACATTCCGGGATCAAATCAGAAACCGGGATGGCTTCTGTAAATCCGGGACTGTCCCTGGAAAATAGGGAGGCTTGGGGGGTCTGGTTTCCTAGTAGATCTGCCTGAGCTTCTGTCCAAACTTCCACCTTTCTCTTTCCTTTCTCTGTACAGCATTGACCGAGGAAGAGATTTCGGCACAAGCCATTGTGTTCATTTTTGCGGGATACGAGGCCACCAGCAATATCCTTGGCTACATGGCATACGAATTAGCAACCCACCCGGACGTCCAGCAAAAACTGCAAGCTGAGATTGACACTGTCCTGCCTAATAAGGTATTTAGCAGCGCTCAGGGCCAAGCAGTAGAGGAACCCCTTCCATCAACCACATCCATTAAGCAGCACCTGCCTGTGACCTCTTTTACTATTAAAAAAGCAGATATAAAGTGGCATTGTATAATACAGGGCCTCTGTGCTAGGGATGTTGGAGGAATTTGGCACCTGTGAATTCTGATGCAAGCTCACCTGGCCGTGGACTGTTTAGTGCAGATTGGAACGCAATCTGCCATCTTTGAGGTTGTGTGGGAAAACGCCCTGGGGTGCCCATGCAGCCCCCAAACTCTGAGCATCTTCCGGTATGCGCAGCTCTGGAAAAGGCATTTCTCTTCTTCTCCAGTGTGCTTCAGCGACATATATCAAATGATATATGCACACTAATCTTCTGGCAAAACACAGCAAGAAGTGTGAGACATCGTAGAGCTAATCTACGTATTTATTTACACACTATGTACAGACAAAGGATTCATGGTGCCCTTTCTCTCTGAGAGATGAACAGACAGAAGTAAAAGCAAAAGTAGAGTACAATAGCTATTACATCGGAAGAGATAAGACTGTCTTCCGTTCCCACACTCTTCCCAGACAGGCATGTGATTTACACCAATCTCATCTGCAGCTTCGGAGGCATGACATGCTAACAGAGGTTTCACGGACTCCATATTTTGCAATGTGTTTCTCGGCTCAGAAACAAATGGAAAATCAATGCACCAATATTCATACATTCAGTCGACGCAAAGGCAAAAGAAAGAATTATGTACCCAAATTTAATGATTTGTTTCATGAAATGAATACCCTACCTGATTACCTTCCTTTTAATTAAAAAAACACACACCCTTAGAAGCAGTTTACAAAAGAAAGACAAAATATTGGTAAAAACCGTTAAAAGCAACTGTTTTAAAACATTTTAAAATAAAATAAAATCAGCTATAAATGAAAAAAAAAGATTAAAGGAAATGGTAGCATTCTACATACTACGTATCTGGGACAGCTTTTCTAAACAAAAATGTCTTTAGCAGGCACTGAAAAGAGAACAGTGAATGTACTTACCTGGCTGGACAATGAGGAGTGGAGGGGGTGGGGGTCCACATGGAGAACCCCCGAGAGAAGCCTCAGGAGAGAAGGCTCAGAGCCAGGGGAGTGGGACACAGAAGACAGGTCAGAGGATGAAAGGGGGGCAGAATAGTTGGATGCTGAAGAAGCAACAGGCTTGAGTGAGAGAGAAGAAGAGGCAGAAAGCACTGCGGACACAGGACAGGCAGCTGAGGAGGAGGTAGGGACAGAGGTTACAGCAAACTTGTAGGAGCCTGACGGTCCTACTGTATTCAGCTCCCTTCCTCCCTTGTCTAAGGGCATAGAGGACCCTGCATGTAGCAGAACAAAGAGTACAGAGGGTGCAGAGCCCTCCTCCCAAATCGAGTTTAAGACTGTTGGGAAAACATCCAGCCAAGGAGGAAGTGGGAGGAACAGATGGTCAGTTCTGGCAACTGCTTTGCCCGTAGGCTTCTCTGTTTGTATTCTGTTTCCTTGAACAAGGGACGCGGGTGGTGCTGTGGGTTAAACCATAGAGCCTAGGACTTGTCAATCAGAAAGTTGGCGGTTCGAATCCCTGCGATGGGGTGAGCTCCCGTTGCTCGGTCCCTGCTCCTGCCAACCTAGCAGTTCGAAAGCACATCAAAAGTGCAAGTAGATAAATAGGTACCAATCTGGCAGGAAGGTAAACAGCATTTCCGTGCACTGCTCTGGTTCTCCAGAAGTGGCTTAGTCATGCTGGCCACATGACCCGCAAGCTGTACGCCGGCTCCCTCGGCCAATAAAGTGAAATGAGTGCCACAACCCCAGAGTCAGTCATGACTGGACCTAATGGTCAGGGGTCCCTTTACCTTCCTTGAACAAAGAACCAACTTTACTACTTCTATCTGAGTTTCTGTGTTGGCCCCAATGTAGACAGTGACCAACTTTTTAAACATAACTCTCCCATCCCTCTCTTTCTCCTTCCCTCCAAAAGGCTCCCATCACCTATGATGCCGTCATGCAAATGGAATACCTTGACATGGCCACCAGCGAAATCCTCCGGATGTACCCAGTTGGTGGGCGAATCGAAAGAGTGTGCAAGAAAGACGTGGAGTTGAATGGAATCACCATTCCGAAAGGGATGACGGTTATGATTCCACCGAGCATCTTGCACTACGACCCAGAATACTGGCCAGAACCCAAAGAATTTAGACCAGAAAGGTACTGGATGCAACAACCACCTCCTCCTGCCCCTCTTTGCTTCTAGTCGCCAGGGTGTGTGTAAGGCAAGGACTGGGAAGACTCAGAGGGAAATCCCCACTTGGCCATGAAGCTCGCTGGGTGATCTTGGACCAACCATGGTCTTCCAGGGTTGTTGTGAGGATAAAGGTGGAAAGGGAAGAGAGCCAGGAGCATTGCCCTGAGCTTCTTGGTAGAAGTGATGAGTATAAATAGAACCATTAACCATAAGAGGTTGTGCGAGTTTGGGGACAGCATAAGGGTTCTTGTTTGTGGTTGTGGTTGAGTTACACAAGAACATGATAAGAGCATCTGCTGGAGAAGGCCAGTTTCCCATCTAGTCCAGCATCCTGTTCTCCCAGATGCCCCAATGGGAAACCCACAAGCAGGATTTGAGCACAAGAGCAAATCTCCCCTCCTGTGGTTTACAGCAACTGATATAACCTCACATTGGATGAACTACTTCTCCTTTATCAAGGAAGGGGAGCATGTGAGACCCATCCAGCATTGCCAACAGTCAGAGATGATGGGAGTTATAGACCAACATCCTAAGGACCACACCTTAAACTTCCTCATCCTTGCCTTGCACCAACCAACGCTTCTGAAGGCATGGGTTGCAAACCTCCATCCTTGTTCCCAAGTCTGAGGAGGCAACAACTCCCCCTCTCACACAACTCTGGCCTTTGTCTTTCTCCCTAGCATCTAGGTGAGGGAGGGTCCCCTCCAACCCTTCTCACCGGCTCATATGAGATCAGCACAAATAGCTGGGCCTGGGGAGCCCTTAATGCTCCCAAAGCCATAGTTATAGTTATAATTCGTGGGTTGCCATCTGATTTTATTCTGATTTTAAGCTGTATTTCAACCAATTGTTTGATCTTATGTTTTAATGTATTATATATTTGATGTTAGCCGCCCTGAGCCCGCTGGGGAGGGTGGGATATAAATAAAAATCAGCATCAGCATCATTATCATCTAGCTGGGTTTCCCCAGCCACTCTGGGTGGCTTCCAACTAAATATTAAAAATGCAGTAAAGCTTCCCTAAACATAGGTGGTACTTAGGTGGCCACTATCTCACAACCGAACTTCCCTGGCTAGCTCAACAAGCGAATCCTCCATTAGCTTGTAACCCTTGCTGGATCCAGGACCCCAGGAATTAGAAGGGGCTCGGGCATCAGGCAGACTTAGCCCCAAGACTCACAACAATGTATTTGAGGGAAGAGTGCATCAAAATGCTTTCAGCTCCCTGGTTTGGTGGTGCTGGGAGGACAGCATGAGAGCCTGATCTGCAGAACTCCTGAGCCCTGCCAGAGACCTGACCGGCAATGCAGGGGGTCTTTTCTTAAGCCCCTTCACTGCTCAGACGGTTGCAAATGACGGTTTCTCCTCCCTTCTGTCTGCTAACAGATTCAGCAAGGAGAATAAGGAGAGCATCAACCCTTACATTTACCTGCCATTCGGAGCTGGTCCCAGGAACTGCCTTGGGATGAGGTTTGCTCTCCTTACCGTGAAGGCTGCTATTGCTAGCCTGATGCAGAACTTCACCTTCAAGCCCTGCAAGGAGACAAAGGTGAGGCACCGACCCTACCGTCGGGTAGAGGGCAGCAGCTGCCTTGGGCAGCAGCTGCTGGGAGGCTGGGGAAGGACAGGGAGGGTTGTGCACCTGGCCACCCGGCTGCTGAGCTTGGGTGCAGTGGAGGGGCTGCTGTCCGCATGCCGGTGCTGAAGTCAGAGTCCGTTGCCAGGCCAGGCGGCTTAATTTGTGGATGGGGGGTGGCAAGCGGAGGGTGGATTTTGCCCCAGGCAGAAAAAACTCTTGGGCCAGCTCTGGGACCTGGGACTGATCTGTGCTGCTGTCTACAAGGGAGACAGCCAAACTGAATCAGATGGAGCTTTTCCGCCATATGGAAGTGTCAACAGGTTATGCCTCACCTGCAACACAGGTGGTACTGAGTGTTCCAGAAGATGCTGCCATTTCTTCTTAACCCTTTAGTGCTCCTCCCCGACTGAGGGCTTATCCGCACCTCCCTTTGCTCCACGGCTTTCCCTCGGGGAAACCCAGTCTTTAGCACTGAATCGGAACAAAGGCAATCAGATTTTCTGTGGGCTGCCGCTTGTGCTGATTTAGTGCTAAAGAGTGGGTTTTCCAGGGGGAAGCCGTGGGGCAAAGGCAAAACCACTCAGACCCATGCCGTGGGTCAAGTGGAAAACCACACAGACTTGTGCTTCCTGGGCATGGGAGGTGTGCTCGTATTTCACTCAATATTTGTTATCTATGCCTTTCATCCTTTTGGTGCACCCCAATGAGGGAAAGCCAGCTGTGGAAGGTTCTTTTCAAGTGCACATCTGATGCAGAGACAGAGGCGCCTCAGGAAAAGGCACCTTCAGATGTCCCTATGTTGCAGGGGGGACACATGTCAAGGGTGGGTGGAGCTGAAACCAGTGGCGGGCAAAGCCACAACCCAAAGTGGGTCAGGTTGCCACCTTTTTTCTCTTTCTCCCCCTCTCTCTTTGCCAGGAAGGGACAGATTACTCTTGCCAGTTGTCAAAACCGATCCCAATCATTTGCAGAGCTGCCATTTTTTTTTTAAAAAAAGCCAAGGGCTGTGAACAAAATGGAGAGGACCATAGGCTGCCATTTTCTGATCATATGCTGTCCCACGTACTGCTCAACTACACAAACATGCCTATTAATTGGTCATGGGCAGCAGCCCTCTTAGCTCCAATGGTGCCTGAATAGGCTTGCAAATGCACAGTGTTCATTTCACACGGGCTGAGATTGTTAGGATTGGGAGGTTATGGCTGCAAGTCCTCTGGCTATGGGGAAAAACACATTATTCCTTTTAGACTACTGCACTCTTGTGATAAGGGCGTAAACATGTAGTGGAAGAAAGTTGAAGGGTTTGCGATATCTCTGAGTCCATGCCTCTTCACCATCCTTAAGATCTCTCTTGCACCTCCTTTTTCAAAACCCTTCTGTTTTCTGGCCTCTAAATCCAGTTTCTCCCTCTCATGTTCCAGATCCCAATGGAATTGGTCTCAATAGGACTGACAAAGCCCAAATACCCCATCATCTTGCAAGCCGTCTCTAGAACCGGCTCTGCACAGTAGTGGAGTTTTTCCAGCAGAATCCCATGACTTCGGCAATGCTGAGAGATCTGTGGCCAGCGTATCGATCCTTTGGACCATTCTTCTGGTGAAATGTGTTTTGGCCTTTATTTGCACAAACTCTTCCATCCCTTGCCATGCGATGACTTGGACATCTCAAATTTTCATACTTCACAATTTTCTACTGTGGATCCATGAGCACGTGGCTGAGGTTGCATCGATGGAAGCTTAGCAACTTAGCAGTGAAAAAAAAAGTGGCAAAGGGTTTCACCTCTGAAAGCAGCAGTTTCCTGAATAAGTTCTGCTGGCCCTTACATGTCTAGCTGACTATCATCACCCACGTGGCCAGTTCAGAAAGTGTGGCTGTGATTGCCGGTGTGACTGGCCCAGGGAGCAAATTCATTCACTCTTAATCAGCTGCATTTGCTTCAATAATGTCAGGATGCAGGAAAATCAAATACTTTACATGGGTCCTTGACTTCCTGGGATTGCTTTATGAAGAAAGAAGTCCTAAATAGGAACAAAAAAATGTGGTTTGAAGAAGCAGCTGGGGGAAAGGCAGTAACAAGATGCAAAATACTCCTAGGGATCAGGGTCTGCTGTTATTTTAAGCCCCTTCCTCCTCAAAAGTCCTAGTAGTTTCCACCAAAACTGGAATCGATAAACCTTCAAGTATGTGTGTGTGTTTGTGTGTGTGTGTGTTTTCAGAAATAAGATTGTACCAACAAAAATAAAGAGTAAAGAAACAACGCCAGCTGTGTGGAACATTTATTGCGGGTGCCATAAAATGGGCAGACTGTTCAGGATGCTTTGGCAGATGTAGAATCATGGAATCCTAGAGTTGGAAGGGACCCTGAGGGTCATCTAGTCCAACCCCCTGCAATGCAGGAATCTCAACTAAAGCATCCGTGACAGATGGCCATCCAACCTCTGCTTAGAAACCTCCAAGGAAGGAGAGTCCGCCACCTTCCGAAGGAGACCATTCCAGCTCTTACTGTCAGAAAGTTCTTCCTTTAGTCAGAATCTCCTTTCTTGTAACTTGAAGCCATTAGTTTGAGTCCTACCCTCCAGAGCAGAAGAAAACAAACTTGCTCCATGTGACAACCCTGAAGATATTTGAAGAGGACATCATCAAAAACCATTGCACAAAGGGACATTTTGGACGTACGAGTCACATATTGATAAGGTAGCCTCACAACATAGAGGTGTTTGTTCTTGGGACGCTGTGGTCTAAACCACTGAGCCTCTTGGGCTTGCTGATCAGAAGGTCAGCGGTTCGAATCCCCGCAACGGGGTGAGCTCCTGTTGCTCTGTCCCAGCTCCTGCCAACCTAGCAGCTCAAAAGCACGCCAGTGCAAGTAGATAAATAGGTACCGCTGCAGTGGGAAGGTAAACGGCATTTCCATGTGCTCTGGCTCTCATCACGGTCCTCCGTGTGACAGTAGCGGTTTAATAATAATAATAAAAATTTTTATTTATACCCTGCCCTCCCTGGCCAGAGCTGGGCTCAGGGTGGCTAACAACAGTAAAATTACAATAAAAACATAATGGGGGGGGGAGCCAATTTAAAATACAGGTTAAAATGAAATTTAAAATGCAGCCTCATTTTAAATGTAGCTGATAAATCAAGATCGTAAGGGGAGGCAAACATAAGGGTCAGACTGAGTCCAAACCAAAGGCCAAGTGGAACTGCTCTGTCTTGCAGGCCCTGCAGAAAGATGTCAAGTCCTGCAGGGCCCTGGTCTCTTGTGACAGAGCGTTCCACCAAGTCAGGGCCAGTACTGAAAAGGCCCTGGCCCTAGCTGAGACCAATCTAACCACCTTGTGACCTGGGACCTCCAAAAGGTTGTCATTTGTGGACCTTAAGGTCCTCTGCGGGGCACACTAGGAGAGGCAGTCCCATAGGTATGAGGGTCCTAGGCCACATAGGTCTTTAAAGGTCAAAACCAGCACTATAAACCTGACCCTGTACTCCACCGAGAGCCAGTGCAGTTGGTAAAGCACCGGATGAATGTCATGCTGGCCACATGACCCAGAAAAACTGTCTGTGGACAAACGCCGGCTCCCTCGGCCTGAAAGCGAGATGAGTGCCGCAACCCCAGAGTCACCTTTGACTAGACATAACTGTCTGGGGGTCCTTTACTTTTACCTTTACCTATGCAGTGTGCTTTTCTTCTCTAAAGCATGCAAACGAAAACCCGCAAGCATCAAAATGGTCTCACATTGTAGCCCCTCTTAGAGCTCTCCTACAAAGGGTTAACTGCTCAGACAAGGCAGCAGTCCCACCGCCTCTCAAACTATCCTTCCATCCATCATGCACAGCTATATTTCATATCACTAGTCATGCATGCACACACAGAGCGATAATTTGTGAGTGATTTGGTTCTGAATGTGTGCATTGGCAGAGAGAAATGGCGCTGCAGAATACAATTTGTGAAACGCTCATCTTCACCCTGCTGCTGTTCTTATTTCATGACTAACATTACTTACATATGAGTTTGGGGTGCAATTCCATTACAGGCACCCCAATACAAATACTCTCCATCAGCTTATTTATTGTAGCGTAAGAAAGGGAGCCCCAAGTCATGCCAAAAAGTGGCCTAGGGGGTCTGAGGGAGTCCCAAGGTTGTGGGTTCGAGTCCCAAGTTGGGTGAAAGATCCCTGTATTGCAGAGGTTGGACTAGAGTCCAGGGCTCAGCAACCTTTTCCAGCCGTGGGCCGGTCCAACGTCCCTCAGACCATGTGGTGGGTCGGACTATATTTTGAAAAAAATAATAATGAACGGATTCCTATGCCCCACAAAGAACCCAGAAATGCATTTTTTTTAAAAAGGACATATTCTACTCATGTAAAAACACACTGATTCCCAGACCGTCTGCAGGCCGGATTTAGAAGGTGATTGGGCTGGATCCAGCCCCGGGCCTTAGTTTGCCTACCCGTGGACTAGACAACCCTCATGGTCCCTTCCAACTCTACAATTCTATGATTCTAAGTTGTGTGTGTGTGTGTGTGTGTGTGTGTGTGTGTTTGCTGGCGCACGCATGCACACACACACACACACACACACACACACACACAAACACCCCTGATGAACAGCAAGAACCTAATACCGGTAATCTAATAACACTTAAAGTGCTTTAATTGTATTAAACATTAATAAAGTGTAATTTTATGATACTGAAAAATTGCATGCCTTGTGCTTTTCAATTTAGCTAGTGCCTTTGCACTCACTTAGTACTTGCTGAGCACTTGGGCAGAATATTGCCTGCATGTTTTTCCTTATCTCAACAAAGAAAAACAATAATGGAGATTTGCTTATTTTTTAAAAAAACACCCACAGACCCACATGACATGGGGAAGCTCCTTCACTTCCCAAATTGTGTTCTTCTGGCTGTGGGTAGATTGCCCCATGCCAGAGTCCATTCCCCTTGGAAGGGTCAGAGTCCATTCCCCTTTGAATTGGAAGGGTCAAAATGCCTGTGCAGAACCACTGGCAGGCCAAGCATTAAGCGTAAAGGGTTGGTCATCTTTCTCATGACAGCAGCAAGACAAACAGTTGCTTCCAGTTGGAAAGAAGCCACCACCCGTTATATGTGGAATATAGCTCTTACAAAGCGCTTAACTCACCATCGGAGGGTGATAAGAGGAATAGTAAAGATGGCTTTGACTCCGTAGAGTATCAATTTATATCGTTTATTAACAACAGCACAGTAATCTCCCTTCCGTCTCAGCCGCTATGGACAAATTATCTGAGTGCTTTACTCTGAAGTATACCCTGTGGATGTGAGCTTCATCTGTCATGCAAAAGATTTTCTAGATCTGTTTTGATGCCATGTGGATGACTGCATACAAGACTAAACAGCTGTACATGCATTTGTTCTGGAAGACAATGCTTTATTCTTGTAATTGGTTTTTTAAGAAGTTTGAAGGAAGGAAGGAAGGAAGGAAGGAAGGAAGGAAGGAAGGAAGGAAGGAAGGAAGGAAGTGATGGGAGTGGTCTGCCTCCAATGCCCCACTTCTGTCTCCTTGGCTCTTAGCTCCCCCACTAGGTAATCCCAATCCCGCCCCGCCCCCACTTTGAGAACCATTGATTTACTCCATTGATGTTGAGACTGCGCACCTGCTCTAGAGATAGCAAAAGAAAAGAAAACCGACTAATTACAAAACATTTGCAACAGCGGTGGGGGTGGGAAGCATGAAAAGAATTGAGAGAGAGCGAGATTTTGGCATTCAGTAAGCAAAACATGCACTTCTAAATGGGATATTTAAAATGAATGATTGTTAATCTAGCCATAATACGTCGAGAGCGCCACATACCCAGTACATGAAGTCTTCAGAAACGAAGTCATTAGTGTAACTACATATGCCTGCTCATTCTTTTCAAGATAGGGAAATGTGAATAATTCCCTGCCAAGGGACAATTACAGCCTGCCATTCCAGCCTCACGAGGCCGTATGCATCAAGGGGCAACAAGATAACATTAATAAGTATTCTGCAGAGAAAATTAGATCAATAATGGTTTGGCAGCATAACATCTAATTTGAAAATGATATCCACAATGCCGTGGCGGTTGCACAAGAGAGGTGCCTGCCGCATATTCCAAACATTTCTCGCTTTTGCCCCCCTCCAGAATTCTCACCTTCATTCCACCTTCTTTTATTTCAGCTTTGGAAAGAATCCAGGCAACAGAGACTCGATCCAAGCTGCACAAAGTTCAGCTGGATTTGTGTCAGAGGAAAGCAGAACGGCTGTTTTGAAAAGCAGCATGTGTGGGCTTCGATAGCTCTTAACCAGGATGGCTGAACGGAGCCTCCGTAGCAGGGAGAAAGTGGAAAGAGAAAAGGTTTTCTCCCTCTCTCATAACTCACAGACACCCAATCAATCATAGAACTGTAGAGTTGCAAGGGACCCCGAGGGACAGCTAGTCCAACCCCCTGCAGATTCAGGACAGATAAAAGGAAGGACTTCTTCGCATGACACAGAGTTAAACGATGGGGCTCACTTCGCCAGGAGACTGATGACCACTAAACTAGATGGCTTTAGAAAAAAGATCAGACAAATTCACCGAGGAAAAGGCTATCACTGGTTACTAGCCATGATGGCTTTGCTCTGCCTCCACAGCTGGAGACAGCAATGCTTCTGAAGACCAGCTGCGGCCGGGGATCTCCCTCTTCTGCCACCTACCAGCTCCATCCAGCATGGCCAGTGGCTAGGAATGATGGGCAATGCAGTCCTATGACTTTTGGAGGACACCAGTTTGGAGAAGGCTGAGACAGGCCTGTGGTTGCCCTCCCAAGTGAATTCCTTTGTATGTACTTAGTGGAGTGGATGGCGCAGTGGTCCAACCACTGAGCTTCTTTGGCTTGCTGATCAGAAGGTTTGCAGTTCAAATCTGCTCGATGGAGTGAGCTCCCGTTGCTTTGTCCCTGCTCCTGCCAACCTAGCAGTTTGAAAGCACACCAGTGCAAGTAGATAAACAGGTACCGCTGTGGTGGGAAGGTAAACAGCATTTCCGTGCACTCTGGCTTCTGTCACGGTGTCCCATTGCGCCAGAAGTGGTTCAGTCATGCTGGCCACATGACCCGGAAAGCTGTCTGCGGACAAACGCTGGCTCCCTTGGCCTGAAATCGGAGATGAGCGCTGCACCCCATAGTCACTTTTGACTGGACTTAACCATCGAGGAGTCCTTTACCTTACCTTTATTTACTTACACACACATCCTGCCTTTACAGGTCCCCTTCTTTTCCTAATAGC